ACGCACTATGGAATTTATCAGTCATTAGCTGGGTTGGCCTGCTGGACGAGATACTGACCCTTTCAGAGGCTCTCAGTCAAGTCTTTGGGCCTTTTCTAGCTTAGTTCAGTTGGTTGACTTCATATTTACAATTCTACTGGTGATGTGTACAGTCACAGAAATGTGTGCGTTCTCGGGGGAAGGCTTTCCTGCTTGCTCATGACATTATGACAATCTCGATCGAGCTGTGAAAAGCGTTAAATGTCACTATTTATGGAATCTTGCAAAAAATCTAGGAATGTTGGAAGAATTCTGAAATTATTTTGAACTCAATTCACGCCGATGGGAACGGTTCACCTGAAGTCCTAAACTGAAGCACCTTTTGATCCCGCGTATGACAGATATTTAGTAATGGCATAATGTCATGTGATTAGCTCTGTAGATTTGGGACAGCCTGCGCGCCTAATAAAAATGTAGGTTCACCAAATCGGCAAGGTCTCTTCACTGGCCAGTTCAAAATTTGTATGGAATTGTTTATTTAAAGGGTGGGCTACGCTGGACCTAACATAATATCCTCAGGGGAAGGAAGTATTCAGGCCTCCTCGCAATGAGTCAGCATGCAATGTCACCTTTGTCGAAACATTGCCAAAGTAGGGCAAACACTATCAGTATTTAATCATCCCAAACCACATGCACAATTGGTCGATAGTTGATACAGAAATTATGAATTCTGCCTGTCAAACGTGGTTTATTGATGCTCAAGATCGCAGATACGAAAGTTATTGAGTATTACAAACATATGATTTGTGGCGTTGGTAGAAAAATCATAACAAATTCTTTCGTAATCCGGTGCTCGGTTGAGGTCAATTTGGAAGATTTATGTCATCAATTTGGACAGGAAATAAATTTTAGTATATATCGATCATTAAAAAATTATTATGGCATATTTCCATAAACATCCTTCCTTTTATCAACGATGTCTGTAGTCTGAAGATTCAAATCTTGAACAAATAAAATCACATTGCTAGTTATTTGGACAGATTTGGAATGTTTATATCCAGGGACCAGGGTCACCAGTAGAAGGATATCCTATTTCAAAAACATGGATCTTTGCTTTGGCAAGGCACGAGCAGAGACGCTATGACCACAGGGGCAGTGGGGACAGCTGTCCCCAGTCGGTCCTTAATTGCTTACCTTGGGGCAAGCAGTGATATCAAATACCATATAATCCTATCATTTAGTCACCATCTTAATGTTATTATTCGCTCAGGTTATAAATAGCGCTCTGCGTTTCTGCAAATCTGTGTAAACTCACATTGCCTGAGTTTCCACTCTATGTTGTTACTAGGGGAAACGAAAAACATTTCGTAAAACTCTGCCCCTTCTTCGAAACTGCTTCCGACGCCCTAAATTAATTAATCAAGGTTATGAACCTCTCGAAGATATCTCAACCTCGTTCTCAAGAAAAGGCCCACACTAGCTGGTAACTAAACTTAGAAATTTTCAAATTTCAGAAAAATATCTCAAGCCTTCTTATTTTCTCTTTTGTAACACTGAATTCAATCTTACGAGAGTTATGTATACGTTTTCACCCTGGAAAGCTCGCTTTCAACAGTCACTGAATACAATAGTGATTGGCTCACGATGCCTCGCCCGATTCACGCGTGTGAGGCCCAATATCAATGGAGGTCTACATAAGGTTGATGATGGACTCCGTGATATAAATTAACTTCATCACATGATATATCGTATTACTTCTGCTTGAACCTATTTCATTCTTTTCAAACGATCATTAAACTATTTTTACAAAATGGCTGCTGACTACTGATTATTTGAGAAACAAATGACCGGCATTCTAAGCTATTCAAAAATAATCATCGATTTAACCAGTTCAATTTAATGATAGTTTATATTCTGGCATAGATTTCAGGCTCATCACACTCGCACTGGCATGTCTTGCGAAACGCATGCGCAGTTGATATTACTACCAACATTCCATTTTTCTTAATGGGACCGTATAGGTCCGCCAACAATAATCAAGCATGCTCTGCACATGCCTGTACGAATAAAAATTCACGCACAGGCCTAGGCAGCATAATTGTGGTTATATATAACTGTATACCGATACGAACTTTATTATTGTCTGCATAAAAACAGACTCGTTAACAGGGAGGAAGAGTTGAGTGTCATCTCATCCTTCATCATTGCTATTCATGGTCATTTGAGTTTGATACATCCGCTATCATATTTCTAACACATAATTACACGTTAAAATTTCTTCTTGGAATTCAGTATTATCGTCTTTCCCCTCCACGCAATGCAGCAACTAAGAATTTAAAACCTGCTTAAAACAGCTTAACCAGCCCTTAGGTCATAAAATATTTTAAATTTATGGCTATGCGTACATGATTAAGTATCACGCTAGATTACATCTCTGATTAAAATTACTCCATCCTTGATTTGTGATGTTTTATACATATAGTGATATAGCTACATATTACAAGTTTCAAAAAATCAAAAGCCATGCATTCTCATACAAACATTGATTGATATATAATTCAGGAAAGATACTTGGGTGAAAAACAAAATGTTCAATTGCATTAATGAAGGAAAGATGGTTTTAATCTACGCAGATTCATTATTCATGATTTTCCTCTTCAAACTTCAAATTAATGGATGTTAAAGTCATTAAAAACGCTTCCAAAGCTCTGCATTTTTGTCGTTTCCCGTTTAATGTGTGCATGATATAAATTAGCAACATCTATAAAGTAAACTAACCTTTTCTAACTCAATATTATAGTTTTACACAACGCCATTTCTACAATCGACACATATTTTAATATTTTCTTCCCTCCAAGGTAAGGTGTTCATGCATATGGAGAAATAGGAAAAGTAGACGAAAGGCCATCACCTCTATATATAATCAATGATAAGTGTATACTTTGTAACTTCTAAGCAAATTATTAGCTAAAATAATATTTATCCAAGTAAAATACACAAATGTGATGAAAAGTACGAGCTTCGTTTATTGCCTTAATCCATTAAGCTGTTTTCCTTTCATTCTTGACAACTCCCTGGTAATAATCAAGCAACATTTTACTAGCTACCGCCAATGAAGAGGGATTTGTGTGATGTTAGAGATTTGAGAAGTACTGCCATTTGCGTTCAAGCTTGCAGCGTGGAAAATAGTATTTTATATAGGATGCACCCATCAATCTCGTTGTTTTAATTATAGAGACCTTGAAAACTGCTTTACTTAAGATGAGGTTCTTTGATGAAAATATATTGTAGCATCACTACATAATTATAGTCAATGATCGAGTCAATGAACATAAAGAGCAGTTGTTTTTTCAATTAGACTATAGTCACATAATATAACAATACCTGTTTTCCGGTTTCTTTTTGGCATTTTTTACCTGGAATTTCCAGGCCAGTAATCCACTCGGAAAGTTTATAAAGAGGACTGACCTGGGCCCTGGCAGCACACTATAATATAGTTTGGAATTTGTGCCCCTCAAGGCTCGACTTCTCTGATTTACAGAATCCTTTGAATAAAATTGGCATCCTGTGCCTCCCCCCGCCCTCCTTTTTTTCCTTTCTGGTAGAAGGCGTAAGAGACAGCAGGCAAACCAGACTAGGGTAGAGAGTGTTTAGAAAACATCCGCATGCAAAACAATTTGCAAATTTCATGACGTGGTTCGTGGGTGGATAAGACTCCATCAAAGCAGATTGACCCTTTAATGTGTCAAGTATGAAGCAATCAGCTCAGGCGCCTAGGCGCACGTGACGAACAATAGCTGCTTTTGTTTTGTAATTATAATGCTTAGACGCCAAGTTTGTGTGCCTGTACCATTGTCATGTACCATGTCAGATCATCACCCTAGGAGGTTGTCTGTACGAGGAAGATGCGATTGGAAAACCGCCGGAAATATTACCGCCTGAATACGTACAAAGGCTAAGATGATATAGTCTGCTTATAAGTTCTAACACATAACATATAAAAAATAGAAATTGGCAGCAGAAAAATATACGGCCACACCATCATATTTCACATTCAGGTTATTCCTCCAATTAATGGGCGTAATAGTGCCCTCAATAACTATGCGGAGTATAACATGGAGTATTATAAATCGAACGTGATTTTCCTACCCAAGTTATCTTCATTGTCCAATCAGTATATTTAATTTCATATGTCTATATCGTACATACAAGAAGGCCCATTATATATAGTCTGTGCGGTTTGAATATAATTGGACGAGAAAATCAAAATTGAAGGGTTAAAAAATTACAAACATGAACGAAACAACCGGGGAGGGGGGGGTTAATTTTCTTTGAGGCTACTTTTCCTACCGTTACTATAGTAAAAAAACTTACGTAATGTTTTTTGAAGGTTTTATGAAATCGGCTCGTAAAACGAAGAACAATAAAATCGCATCAAATGACAGCCTGAAATTGAGCATATAGCTAGTGGATGCACGCACCTTCTTAACCATCTTCAGATTTTACCTTGTTTTTACTTGTTGAAATACGTGCTGACGTTGATTTATGGAACGATAAAAAGCCTTTCCGATTTAGCGAAATAAATGTAGCTAATTAATGGCGTTGTACCTAGTTTGTCTGAGTATCTTTATTATAGTACCGGTTTTATACGCCAAAACTATACTTCGTTAATTAAGATGTTTTATCTTTTGGTGAATCTATTGAGTATTGAAGCGGGGTAAAAACTTTTTCGTGTGTGATGGGGCTGTTTTTATCGATATAAAAAAATACATGATTTAGTCGGCAAGCGGAAGACCACTTATAAAGAGTGCATGGAGCAAATAGAAAATGAAAGATGTAAAATAGTGATAATAAGTAAGAAAACGAGAATGACATATCTAGCTTGTACAAATAAAACATACAGGTTAGGTTCAAATTCATGACACCATTTCAAAATGCTTGCATGCATTGCCATTTGATCTCAACAAGATACCTTGGACAGAATTTCACATGCAGAGGTGCGAAAATTAGAAATAATATACCTTTTACGTGATTTACTTCGCCAGTTGCACATTTAGTGTGATGTGAACGATATCATATATCAATATACATATACTTCGAACTTCGCCAATTCATCATGTCGCCTGGCGCGATCGATCTTGTTTGTGTTAATAAATCTCGATTTTCGGTTGCTGGTTAATCTCGAAATGCAGTACATCATAACATGGCCATTGCCAAAGCCATTAAACACTTAGCAATGCGCGGCTTGTGTAATCTAGACAGTAAAATTACCATTTAATTACTTCTGCCCTTTTGACTTTGGCCTTCAGCTTTGATGTATAGTTACAGCGCACGCGAACGTTTGCCAAAACTTGAATGACCTGTCCTTGGGGCTGTCAAAGATCTATGCCAATTAATTATGCCGCAAAATACTTTTAACAGATATAATATAATGTGTAAAACTTATTTCCCCTCTTAGAAGATTCGTTAATTCGTGCATTGATGATCTTTCTCGGGCAACTTGATTCAGAAGCTCAGCCTGTAGAAGCTAGTATATATATATTTCATAGTCCTGCTTTTGCTGTAAATTAGAGACCTTTAGCTTGACGTTTACGATAGCCCTCTAACGGCAAACAGAAAAATTCATTTCGAATTTTCAAAACAAATGCTAGGTTTCTGAGGCCGAGAAAATTGGTGCATTATTTTCAAACATAGAGTAACGTCTGAGAAAAATTGTGGCCGAGAAAATGCCAAAAATCTAATTTTAAATGTTATTCGAAATTAGCCGTTTGGTGTTCGCGGTTTGTCATATTGGTTAAGCTAAAGAGTAAAGGTCTTTAATAAGGCCCGTCTGACCTCACTCAATTCATTAGAGTTTATATGAAAGGCGTCGACGTGGAGTCAGGCTCCGCGCGCAAGTCGATCTAAGCTTGTGTGTTGTTGCTGCCTGCAGAAAGATAAAAAGTTGTGGAAATCATGCAGAGAATCAGTGAAAAGCGACTGAGTTCTGCCCTCTTCGGTCTTCGCTACAAGTAGCTGGCGATAAACAAGCATATAAACCCTATAAATTCCCCAATCCCTCATAGCTAAGTTATATGTACGAATCTTGCGCACGTTATACAAAAAACTTTTCATGAAATCCCAATAAAAGTTTTCCTAATCAATATCATTGACAACAATGAAACTATAATAGTCATCAATGAAACTGGTTGAATTTTCAACTGCTTAATTCTTACCGTTTTAGCATTTATAAATGCGCATGGCTGCATTGTAGACCAATATTTAAAGGACTTTCAGATCCACGCAATCCGAAATACATAAAACTGCATTTCGAAGACATTACTTTAGCTTCATTTATGTAAACATGCCGCTATTTCGTTCCTGACTGTGCATGTAACTCATTTGACCTCATAGCGTGCATGCTTCTTCACATAATAATTGATTAAATCATCACCTGGGAGATACGTGCATGCATTATATACCTGCATTCACGATAGGCAGAAGAAGACATGCAGGTGCATTCATTCAATAAAATCGTCATAAAGGTATATAAAGTTACACAATGGATTATATAAATCATAGAATTTTGGTTACGGGATTTTTAATCATTTTCTATGAATTTTTATCTGTTGCGTGCAACTGGAAGTGAGGCACTTGAGGGAACTCTTGGGAACAATATAATAAAGACATATATGTTAAGGGCTTTCTTGAAGAAATCACTCATGATTCTTAAAAAATGCCATGCATGTTCATGTTTGTGTGGTCTACATCATAAATATTGTTTATTATCAATCCTAATAGAGGAATGCATGGGAACATTTTGTTTTCGACGATAAAATGATCGTGGAAACACGCATTCTTGATGCGAATTATACGTACAAGGGAGAATGCTTATGAAGACATATCATTCATATAACGTATAGGTGTAACAGCGAATATATATATGACTAAGCAATTTAACGATCTCGAAACTGGAAGTATATATATAACCTTATTGTTGTATATAATTATGCAAAGTCATGCATGTCTTTTTTTTTCTATTCATTCTTTTTTTCTATTCATTCTTCAGATTTGATATAACTGCATTAAATGACATAAGTTACCTGGCTACAGGTTTAATTTGATCTTCTTAAATTTATTATTCTTCCCCTCAGGCAAAGAACTTGTTGATCGATGTAAATTACTTTAACCAAAATGAAAATAGAGGTGACTCTTTATATCCCGCGATCTAAAAGATCAGTTTCAGTAATAAATCGATTAAGGGCGGAGTTGAACCACTGAACTCTCGATCTGCAGTCGAATCACTCGAATGATCTACCACTGAGCTGCACTTCCTGATCGTGCATACCTGTGTGATGGTATTCTCTTAGATGCACTGGCTCATCGTGCAGTAAAATCCGGTCAATTCTCAAAGTTGTTCCGAAGTGATTTTTCCGTACATTATTTAAGATATAAATTGACGGAGCCAATCGTTCTAAGTGTATGAACAACGTGCATGAAACCATCAAAAAGGAGTCACGATTAAACGGCTGAGTTTCCCAAATTCCAAAACCTTCAATTCAGAGCGTGTATATAATTCACTTTGGGGCGAACACCAGAATATTTAAGAATTGCATCTATTTTGAGAACTACGATTATTTTCAATGATTGTTGCATAAGAACCGCTTGAAAAAACCGACGCTCGAATTTCTCAGTAAAGGCTGGGCAAGCGAGAAAAATTTTGCTTCATCATTTTTACCTGACGCACCATGATACCATAATCTGTGAACAATGAGTTACGCTCTAATCTGAGTTTTATCCCCTCGTCCGGATTTTATCCCCTCGTCCAGGTTTAATTATCCCATCATTTGTATCCGTGTTCTCCATCTCAACCCTTTGAATTTAATGCAGAATACATATGCATTCGGTAACTAATTGAGCCGATTAAACTAAAAAAGCGTGTCTAAGGTGGGTGGAGTGGGTTGAGGTGGATTTAGGGACACGGTTACCCTTGCAGCAGAGGCCAATGACGCTATTCGTGTTCCCAGACAGTAAAAACACGTGCTTTTATATTATAGGAAATGCACTTTCGTCATGTCCAATGTATGACGCTAGAACCTGGGATATTACTTTATCATGCACACAATAACGTCATACTTTTGACCAAAATGACGTTTTCCACATTACGACATTCCGTATTTTACAAAATTTCGCAGCCAAACTTTACATTTGCACTGTAATGTAAATAAGATCTTTCTTTCTGTGATGATTTATTTTCTTCTAGTTACTACGATCAAAAATTAGTCTGAAGCACAAATCGGCCGTTGCTCCCATTAGTAATCATTTTCATGCCCAGGAAAGTCCTGCTTGTCTGTATATCAGGGATCTGGTCAACGCCTATGCTGTGTATAGACTTCTTGTAATCTCAAATGCTCGATAACAAGCCGATAAACTGCTAGAAATGGGAGTCTTTAAACTAAACACTAAAATGTTTCACTAAAATGACGTGCATAGTTCTGAATTTTTCAGTTATATGCTGTTCGTGGCTATTGATATCATATTTTATTGCAACGATAGATTTCGAAGAAAACTCATGCATGAGATGACTCGCATTAATGGGAAAGTTGCAGCAAAAGGCATCTGAACTACGACACCGCCCTCAACAGAAAGGTTTCTCACTTTCTTGGATGGCCTGAAGGATGTTCAGGCAAAATAATGAATTGCCTTCCTGGTGTCAAATAGGTTTCAAAAATGTTCCGATCTACCATTCTCAGACTGAAATCTAAAAATGCCTCAAGGAAGGCTCCATGATTGCTTTAAAATAAATCAAATCAATGGCATGCAATAATTAAGACGGTGATCGGCGTCGAATCGTGAATCGCTGTAAACTGTAAAGTGCTTGACATTCACTAGCACATGACGTTATTCTTTAACTGTATGATTCTTCAATGCTGTATATGACCTTGAACTCTAAGCCCGAAAGGAACGAATGGTTGTAACCCATCATGCCCTACGTATTCAGAAAATTGTCTTAGTCAAAGAAATATTTCATCATCCTTCGCTTATAGTTTCAAAAATCTACACTGGTTGAGTGAAAATTGACCTGCATGAGCCTGGAACAATTTCGATCGAAGATTGACGTATATCGGAAGTTACGTGCAATGAGATGATCACGCATGCGTAATTACTTTCCTAAGAATATTATATTGTTCTAAAACACCTGAGCATTAAATCCAAATAAGGTAACAAACCAATGCCCTTTGTTTATGACATGTGTTGCTTTAATAAGATCTTTCTATAATAACCTAAGAAGCACTCACTGCTGCTAAGTCGAGTCATAGGGTCGAGTATTCCACTGAGTATGCTCTAGTCAGGAAACAAAACATTATTTATTTGATATGTTTATTCAGCTTTACCGTTTTTGAGCTAAAAAACAAATCCTTCTACAAATCTTATTAAAAGAGATCAAATTATTTTAGCTTATTATTACACTATTCAAACCTGGCGGCTGTTTCCTATTTTACATCAGAAACAATAGATAACAACTACAATGTGGCTACACTGTAGTATGCTATCGGCTAGAACGACCCGTAAAAACGAGATAACATTCGTTCCTAGTCTTCGCATGCGCCAACTGGACATTCAGATAAAAGTCTAATTCCGGCGGCATATCATTGTATTCAAATTTGCCTATGGTTACGGAATATGCACACACTGCATGCCTTTTCAAAAAACTAGAATGAATCGGTTCAATTGTTGCCTGCTCGAAGATTGAATTTAGGGAGCGAGGAGGAAACTTCTGCAAGCAGGCTACCTCCAATATACTGATCAAACAGAGTATAGAGACGGTAGGCCATATAAGTTAAGACTTAAAGTGCACTTAAGTAAAAGCAATCGAGTTGCAAACTTTGGACCAGAATGCTTTGAATATAGTAAAACAAATTCAGGTTACGCCTACGGTTCGTACTGAGATAAATTATCTTTAAGCTCCTCGAAGATTATGTCATCTATGAATCCTTTCTCTGCATGGTCATGGGTTATCGCGAAGGAATTCAAATAGCTCAATTGAAAAAAAATCGTTTAAAAACAAAGTCTGTCTGACTGAGCGTGAGAAAACGGAGATTTCACTGATATTTCTATCAGCATATAAATAGGCAAATATACGTTGAAGCCTGCAAATATAGTGGTACTCGCGTACTTTGCATATACAGACGGCATGAAGATACTCGGTATGTTATCCATATATGTAGAAATATGTAGTTTAAACTTTAAAGTTGGAAACACTACAAGAGGATTACATGACTTTTTCACTCATGT